AACAATGTCAGTCCTGCTCCCTCCAAGCCTCAGCCCACAGCACGCCTCTCCATCTCCTGGCTGCAGCATCCTGGGGCTCTTGAAGGTGCCTGGGTACAGAGCTGGGCTATGGTCATGTCCATTTATCCCTGGAAATATTAAGGCTGTCCTTTCTCTCTGAAAATGTGTGAACAGTAACCCTTGCTGCAATCCAGTCTGCTTCTCTCACCAAGATAGCTGCACATCCCAGCTCCTCCTAATCCTGGTGCCCACAGCCGCTCTCTTCAGCCACTGCTGCACACACGGGGTGAGCTGCTCTCCTCCCCACACCTCTCACACTGAGGTCACACTGGGCTGCTCCTGCACGCAGTGAAATTCCTGCCTTGATGCACTGAAAGACTCTCAGCACTGATGAAAGGAACCAGGGATTTGTTGGCTTTGCATGGCCCCTGTGTGCTGCTGGGGACAGAGACCCAGGCAGGTTGCCAACAGCTCTGTCATGGTCATGCTGTATGGTCTGCTGATTCAGCAAGGGAGTGGAGGAATGAGGGCCTGCGATTTGGAGCTCAGTGCATTGAATGCAGGTCGGGTGGGAGAATGTGACCTGTATCTTGTTCACCCTAGCTTTTTCACCCTGAACTATAAACATTTAAATATGTAAATATTCTGTTCTTCACTGAGTGTGTTACAGATGGTCTCACCTGTGCACCGTGATGCTTTTGATGGGATAAGTGGGTACCAGAGGGATCTGTACATAACATTGCACAGAGTGATGTTTTCTTCCCAATACCTCATGTTGACAAAAAAACCAACAACTGTTTTGGGAGATGTTGAGAAGAGGAATAATTTGACTTGTTACCTACATGGATCACAATTAAATTCTGTTCACTGGAGTAGCAAAATTTTCTTGCTGGATGAAATATATCCTTACGCTAAGGTGCAAGGGAATGTCTCAGAATTTGGCTGAGCAGGCACCTAGAGGTGAAAGACCTGCTTAGTGAATATAAAAAGAACCTTATTGAGCTGTGGGACAAAATTTCTCTCTCTGAATTTAAAGGCGAGTCTGTGGTATTGAAGACTCAGGAACAATGATACATATTTACTAGTTTACAAAGTGAGAAAGAGCATGAGAGACAGTAATTTAGTTTAATGTGTTTAATTTGAGGTGTGACAATGTATTTTGTTATCCATAGACACAGTCCACATAGGTTGGAAATCCCCTAGGGACAAGATAAATCAGGAGAGTGCTTGTTTAAAGGTCATCTGTGGGGAGATCCACAAAGTGAAGCAACTGGCAATTTCTGGGGAATATAGCAAAAACGAAAGGGTAAAGCTCTCAGGTTCTGAGTAGTTCCTTGGTTTCACTTCCCAGCTGATAGCACTGCTGTGAAGAAGGCAAGGTGTGAAGAGGATTACTGGAGCAAACTTCTGTGGAAGACAATATTTAAATGCCTTGAGTCAGCGCTGAAAAGTTTATTTGTCCTCCCTGATGAGCACTGCCGAGACTGCTGTGATGTGCTCTATCATACCACCTCCTACTTGAATATGAAATAGTAGGTTTCAACAGACAGCCTCTTTCTTCATGGGACGTTACTCCATTTCAACGACATTATATTGCTAGGTACTGTGGAATTTCTGAAATGTTCTGGGGGATAAGTGATGACTGCTTGGAGCTGATTTTGGATGGGCAGGAAGACAGCAGCTCTTTATGTTTGACTTCCTTTCTGGTACACTTCAGAATGTGGGGAAGTAGCAGGATTGCCTTTTTCCTGAAGCACCCTTACAAGCACCAGGCAGCAGGCTGCCTTCCCATGACACAGACTAAGGCAGGTTACAACAGGGTTTGTTGGTTATGTCACCCAGAGTGCTGTGGTGTGGTAACAGCGTGACAGCAAGACGAAATGCAAGACCCTGTGTCAAAGAGCCTGCTTTCAAAACTTAGCCTGCTCCTTACCATCCCACAGTACAAGAAACTTTTCACCCAGATGTCACATGCTCTCTTGTTGGTCTGCCCTTCTGTTAAGATTGTATCTCTAGGAGCTGAGAAAAAATCAAAAAGGGATTATGACAATGTAGTTTTACTACTTCTCTCTCCTCTACCCATTATGAAGAACAGAAGTGCATCAAGAGTTCTGAATATGTTGTTGAGCATTTCTGAATACTCTGCATATCCCAGTGTTGCTCCAAATTCACTTCACTGGCAGGAAGGATGGGTCAAAATCTAATACTTACAAAAAAATGCCTTTACATCCCCCAAGGAGTATAGCACAAAGTATTCTCTCTGTATTTACCTGTGTGCAAGATTGTGATGTTAATGATAATGCCCCAGGAAACAGGGTAATTGTGCAATATGCTAGGGAATAGTACCTCTCAACCCAATAACCACTTTCTATTTAATCTTGTTACTTTTTCCAGGCAGGATCCAGCATTATATTTGTGTCTGAAGTATAGGATATAATGATGTCTTGAACCTAATTGTCCTGCCTGACTACTTGCATTTATATCCACACATTTAATGGATATAATAGCTTATTTACCAGTTTTTAACGATCTCATTTCTACTCAGCTCCATTCCTTGCAAGGGTAATATGGAGACAAGAGCATCAGTATTTCTTCTACTAAACAAACACAGATAGTGTAGGAAGGTGCTGAGCTACTGTAGGTAGAAGTATACCAAAGACCCTCATAATCTAGAAGCATGGAGATAAACTTGAAAGGAATATTTAAATGGTTAATTGTCAAGTTAAGTTCTTGAAACATCTCTCTCATTTTTTGTATCTGAGGACTACCATTTCTTCCAGGAATGTCTCTGTTGCTTCATTACTTTTATGTTTGCATTTCTGGATTACTCTGTGGAGAAAGCAGGCCATGGTGTGCTTTTCATTAATGATATTCACAAGATAGGTGTATTTCTGTGATGGTCCAGTCTGATTCAGAAAACAGCACATGAAAAAAATCCACTGATGTCTGAGAGGAGGAGAACGCTCAGAAGCACTTACGGTATGTGGGAAGTCAGGGCTCAGATCTGCTCTTGGCTGGTGGTGGAGCACTGGGATATGCATGCAACTCCATGTCAGCTGGGACTTTGGGAATCATTATGAATGCCTCTGGATGGTGGGCTTCTGTTTCACATTAAAAAAAATCACACAACTATTTGGAGCAGGGACTGGAACGTGACTCTCCCAGATGTTGGTATGATACTCTTAGTACACCAGCCGTTTAATTATAGTCAAGATGAATTCACAGAACGACTTGAGCATTGAAATCTCAGCCCTTGAGAAGAGCAAGCCCAGACATTAAACAAACTAATATACTACAAATTAGGAGGTATATAAAGCTAGCAGGCACCAGGCTTTTACCAACAAAGTTCTGGCAGTCCCTAACATTCTCTGCTTCTAGGCATGTCTGCTTTGTTTCTGTTTCTGCTTCTGCTTTGCTTTGAGTAGAGGAGTGCCTACACCCCTCCATGAGCCACGATTCCCACGATTCCCACGATTCCTCCTGCTCCTATTTGTCACTTAGGACCTGAGTCAGACGACATCACAGAAAACACATATGAAATCAGAACTTCCCTCTAAAAGTTTCACCCAGATAATCCTGTGGTGCAGTACTGGTTATATAATGAATGTGGGACACACAACTTCCATCTCTTTACCAGAGGAGGTCTGAGCCACATCTCCCATATGACTGTCACATGGCTTAGGAGCTGTCTCAGGGTGGGACATCCTTCACTCTGCTGCTGCGTGTGGTCTCTGAAGGATGGGGAGGGTGCTTGCCATGCCAGGAAGAACCCTCTGCAAGCAGTGGTCAGGCCCTGACTGGAAGGAGGCTGAGGTTTCCAAAGCTGTCCCTGTTTGGGGTGGGCACTGCTGGGATGGGTGTGAGCATGGAGCAGGGTCTGACACATGGTGGCAGCGCAGAGCCCCGGCAGTGGGGCCATGGGTCCGGGGCACCTCAGGGCCACCTCAGGGCCACCTCAGGGCTGGACGAGCTCCTCTGGGCAGGATGGACTCTCAGCGAAGCCAACATAGGAGTGCAAGTGCCCTGGCAATAGCCAAGCTTCCCTAAGCCAACCCTTTAGTGGAAAGGACTGGAATAAGAGGGTGGACGAAATTCCCAATGCACAGATTGAACTTACTTTCTTTGTAAGCATGCAGAGGACTATTAGATGTCTTGTTATTCTTTTCCCATCAAATAGAAAAGTACATGCAACTCCACATTCCTAAAAGCATCTTGAGAGATGGCAAAGGTGCCTAGGGAAGTTAGCTTTACTCTCTTAGAGGCACTCATGGGTAGGAGCTACATTGTAGTTTTGTTTTATTATCCACAAGGACCTACGAGCTGGCTGAGCAAAGGCGTCAGAAGTTCTAAAGAGGGAATTTCTTTGGGGAATGGACTGTGAAAATGCTTCTGTGATGTGGGCAGTAAATAACCCTTTGGAGATCAAGTGACATTGCGCTTTTTAGTATAGGATTTTGCCCTTTTCATGCTCAGGAGACTTGGGAGCCTCAGTTGCCAGAGGGAAGCTCAGACATTTCACTGCTGCTAGACTTTCTGGGAAGATGTAGTTAGGATTATCTAAGTGGGCAGTCATGCTCTCTTTTGTATGACAAAAGAGGTAAGTAATATGATATACATTTGCTGAAGAAGCAATTTCAGAATGTCTTGATACAATGTTGGGTAGAGTTGTGGGGTGGCCTAATTCTCAGGACAGGTTTTGGTTAGGGATATTAGGAGGTAGCCACTTCCAAATAGCTCAGTCTTGGTGCATGGAGGAATAGAAACTGCAGTTTTGTCTTTACATCAGAGAGGACTGGAAACTCTTATATGTAAAAATTACATATATTTAAAGCATTGTTCTTTGCTGACTGAGTGGAAAAAACTCATACTTCAGTAAAATCATCAGGTTTTTAACGATGAGGGAACCCGAGCATATAACTTATTAGCAAAATAACAGGTGTGTTGCTTTTTTTAAAATGGGCTCAATTTCTTCCTGTCATGTAGGAAAATCCAAACAAAAATAGAAAGCTTCTGTCCTAGTGCTCCTGAGATTAGATGTTATGGTATAAATTCTGTAGAATATAGAAATATGAAGTGAAATATAGATTTAAACCAGAATACGTTAATCACAACGGTGTATATTGTGGGGGAATTCATCATACTCTGACCTTTTAAAATCCTGTGAGACAAAGATCTTAGAAATTTCCTCCCAGATGTTCCCACCAACGTTTCACAGCTGTCTCTGGCCATTTACTAGGTGTCTCCTTGTGGAAACAGGGGTTTATGCTGGATTAAATCTGGCAGACTAAAGCTCCATTCCTCCAAATCTTCTTCATCTACAATCTGAACAGAAATAAGAGAGATCTATGAAAAACAAGAGAAAGGCATCAACCATATGTTTAAGAAATATTGTCAGGGTTTCCAACCAACTGCTGCACTATCTGGTTGTTAGTTTTGTAGTGGCTTGAATTTGGCCTCCATGCAGAGAATTAGCTTCAAGCAGGCACCACTTGAATGAGCAAATCTTAGTCAGTATAATTTTATTATTCCTCTGACTATCACAATCAAGGACATTAGTATACAGGGCACACTTTGAAGAGGTTATTACTGAGCACTCATCGTTTGCTTAAATTGTCAGATCTTTTTCATGTAGTTACAGAGAGAGCACTTTCATGAGCTTGAGGACTTTTTTTTCTGGCTGCATTTACATTTCCAAGGAAACAAATAAGAAGGACTTTGAAGAGATGATTAGCCTATGAGCTAATTTATGGATTTTTCATAGTCTAGTTCCTCTAAGCTTCTTGCATGGAACTGATTTTCGTTTGGAGTAAGACTGTAGGTTTTAGTCAATACAGACAGGATATTTTAAAATAGCTTAGCACTGGTTGCAGTGTTCTCCTCAAGTTTAATGGGAGCATTTGCTTCTAATTTAATGAAAAACAACAGTGAGGGCTCTTGAAAATCCGATTTTTCCTGCTTGTTATACCCTGAGTATTCACATAGGAGATTTATTTAAAGCTCTTTTTATGAAAGAACAGACCTTGTTTCATCAAAAGTGAATTGGCACTAAGATATTTGATGGCAAAATCTAGGCCAGGATATTTAGGGAAAGTGCTTTGCACTGAGTGTGGAGGAGAGGGAAGGGCTGTGCTGAGGTGATCAAGAGAATTCCTGATACCTCAGTTTCCATAGGTGAACATAGGCAGAAGTGTCCAAGGGCTGACGTATGGGATATGTCACAGCCTCTGCTCATGTTGGCACTTCAGAGGATTCTCAGATTTGCATTCCTGGGGTATATTTGGCTACACAGCATCTTAGGACAAGAGCAAGGACTCTGCCTTCTATAATATGTGTTTGGAGAAAGCTTGTTGGTGTTGTCTAAAAGGTGGCTAGTGAATATTGCACATACACTGGCACAGCATTTTTTCTTTGTCACAAAGGAGCTCTAAATTCAAGGCCATTTCATCCCCCCTGACACAAATATTTCAGAAATCTGAACCCAAAAACTACAACTGTATGATTAAGATTTTTTTCTTTCAGTTATTGTTTTAATAAGAAAAGACTGGTTTGGGAGCTTCACTCCAGGAACAACTCAAGACTGACAATTCTGGGAGCAGAGAGGTGCATTCTTCTGATGTGGACTGAGACAGAATTGTCTCACTTCAAACATTTCACATTCAGTTAATTTCTGCTGAACGTAGAGCTTCATCCATTAAAGCCTTGCCTGGGTCCCTGGCAGAATTCCCTGTTTTTGAGAACTTATTGCCTCCATGTTCACTGAACATAGGGCTGTCCAACAGATATTTTTCCCACCCAAATATTTGCAAGAATCTGAAACTTTTGGGGAGATTTAGATTGCCCCTTTTTCCTCTTGTTCCATTCTTATGAATATTAGCAAAGAAGGCAATCAAGAACCATTAGAGCAGCAAATCTGAACTGTTCTTTGTTCTTGACGTCTCAAGCCTTATCACTTAACTTTGAATGCTGTATGTAGAACTTGGTATTCTAGAAAACTGTGTACAGATCAGAGGCTGTGAGAAAACTAGTCCTGGCTCTGACACTGACCCACGGGATGGCCTTGTAAAATAGGGAAACTATAGGGACCCTCTCCATTGTGCTCTGCTCAGATAAAGCTCTCTGATCTGCCTGGCAGCTTGCTGCCTCACTGTAGCCCTGCGGTATTTTTACCCTCTTTTTCTCCTCTTGCAAGTGGACAACCCTGAGTCTCTGACACAGCAACAGTTGCTGCCCCTTATTCTGGTAGCAGTGCTTTGTCCTGCTGGCAGTGATATTAGCTTTTTCTTTTTGTTTGTCTTAGCAGGCCCAGGAGGGGGAATTTGTGCTTGTTTGCCTGGATAAGGGTAACACAATGGATCTGAAGCCTGTAAGTGCTGAGGACCTCAAAAAAATAACAGAAAAAGGGAGAATAAAACTCTTGATTTTTAAAATTACCAACATGTGGTGCAAAGAAAACATCCTTCATGGTTTTTGGTTTCCTTAAGTATCCTGGTACATTGGAACCACAAACTATAATATGGTAAGTGAAGCAAAGTCAGCCAAACAGATAAATTGATGTTATGAGTCTGGGACAGGATATGTCTGATTATCCTTTGCAACTTAACTGATGGAGTTTGCTCTATTTATGGCTAAGCCATTCTGTGATCTTACAGGAAATTACTTTCTGTACACACCATTCTTAATAGATTTTTAAATTCATGCCTGCTCTAGGAAAGGGGATTATACTACAAGAGATTATGCATTTTTCCCCAGCTTTTAAGGAGCAACCGTAATGATGGTTATTGTTGATGAAGGCATTACAGAGCATTCGTGTAGCAAACACCTTGAATAGCTTAGTGTTGAAAGCTTTAATTTTCCATTTAATAATAGTGAAACTAGTTAATACTAATTTTATACAATCACTTCCTAAGCTTCTTAGAAAGCATGCAGTCATGGATTTAGTCTGTGCCACAGGGGAATGCCATACATCATGAGGCTCAAAAACCCCCAGAGTTATTAGAGCTATGTGTAATATTTTACATCTCGTCTTGGATCCAGTTTGTAAGTCCTTTGATTCACAGGCAATGATGATTTATCCGGGGATGGCTGCAGTGATTCCTGCCGCCGGCTGTCTGCTCCACCTCTCTCTCGGAAGTGTTCATTCGTGCTGTGAAGGTGGCTCAGCTCTTTGGGAAGCAGCTGTTGAACCAGCACAGTTTCCAGACCAGTAATATTAACCGAAAAACTGGCACTGGCTTTAGTTCTTCTTAATACACCAGGCTGTAATTTACAGTGGTTCAATTACTGCCACACCAGCAGCTGAGCTGTCTGGAAGCAGGGGCAGGGCTCAAAGGTGAAGATGGGAACCCCTGCAGCCATCTGCTGCCATCCCTATTCATCAGCCAGATACCCAGACCTAGACTGGGGTTTGTAAACATGCATGGCAGTTACTTGGTGTTTTTAACCAGCTCTTTTCTCAGATTCAGCTTGAGACTCCTCTGGGGATTTATGGTCTCACTTCATCCATGGGGATTTTCATGGGATCAGGGCAGTTCTGGCTTTGGGACAAGGACCCCTGTGGAGTTCTGGGGCCTTGGGAAGGATGAAATGCACTTTCTCGCACAGGGCTGGTGCAGGACCAAAGCCTTGTGTATTTCACTGAAACCTGCTTTTGAGGTTTCTGTGGTAACTTCTTCAAAAGCAAGTGTCAGAGGGTAATATTGGGCTGGGATTTCACAATTCACTCTTACCTAAGATGCCCAGCCAAGGGGCAGAGTCAGTACTGTGTTATTTAATCAGCTTAGAGGGACATACCAGCCTGCTACTGGTTCATGGGAAAGCCTCCCCTCCTGTGGCCGTCTCACTGCGGGTGCCAATGATCAACACCCGCGACTGCTGAAAATCAGTCACATTTTTTCCCTGTAAGTCACTTATGGGTTGATGATCTTTTCTGAGCAGCTTTCTGCCTGCATTTGGTCTCAACAGCATGACAGAGCATCTCATTTGCCATCCAGCCAGACAATAACTCAGCTGCTTTTAGAAAAAAAGGTGGAAAAAAGGGGGAATGAAGCCAGTTTTGAGGGCTTCAGCAGCTCTTGCTTTTCATTGGACATGTTCTTCCCATCCCTTTTCAGGTGCCATTGGGGAGAATTTTTGAGAAGTGTGGTTCATGTTCTAGTTGTGTCCTTCAGAACAAAGATTGAGAATTGTTTATGTGGGAAGAACAGGTCAGGGACATGGTCAGTTGTGGTAATTGGCCCTGTCAACCCAATTACTGACCTCCCCAGGGCAAAGTCTGTCAGAGGGCATCCTCCTCCTCCTATGGACATGCTGCCTGTTTGAGCCCTCCACTGTCTTTGAGCAAGGGCAGATCTGAGGAGGCGTGAAAGGGGGGTCAGGGGTGGGATGTCTATGCCACTGGGATGGGCTGTGAGGAGATGTGCAAGTAGAAAGGCAGGTCTGGCAGAATAAGAGAGCAGGGCTTTTCTGGGGCTGGTTGCTGAGAATGGTAGGAGCTGCTCTGGTGTCCAGGCTGGCAGGCAGGGGTTGTGGGGATGGAGAAGGGACTGTGAGGCAACAACTACTACACTGAAACAGGACAAGCAGGGGGCTTAGAGAGTAAGACACCCTGTCTCAGACCATATTTAAATTTTTCATGCAGTACTCCTGCTTCATCCTACAGCCTCAGCTCTTCTTGACTTTGAAGCAGGACACACACAAAAGCCTACCAAGAAGTTCCCATCCTTTTTGTTTTTGCTGTAGGAAGCAGAGCAGTCCTAGTTGCATATTCAGTAGTAATTTACATGGTTTTGGCTAGTTACGCAAGATATGTGGAGTTTCTCTTCCCCTAACTTGAATGTCTTGCACAACTAGTCAGCATAGTGTGAATTGTTAGTGTGAATTGTCAGCCCTACAATCAGGACTACCAACTGCAGTTTCCCCTGACAAAGGAGACAGCAGAAACACAGAGGGGTTGAGAACAGGCAACAAAAATAATTAAGCATGGACAGACTTCCCTCAGGAAGAAACAGAAAAGAATAGGACTACTTTGTTAGAGAGTAGATGACTAATTTATTTATACAAATAAATGAATGGGAGAGAGAAAGTCGAAGGGGGGTGGTGGTGTTTGTATTTAACCTCTCAAGCAACAAGGCAACATTCAATTAAAGGGAAAGAAAAAAATATCAGGTGACAAAACCTACTTTGCTTAGGATGGGATTGAGTTGCCTTTGAGAAGTCTTGTCTCACTGCAGAGCATAGATGGAGCCTCAAGGACTGCCCACCTTGTAGTCTAGTCACTTAAGCTAATGAATCTGACAGTGTTAGCTTTTTAAAGAAAAATACTAGTCTACATGGAAAATGATGGTCAAAATAGGAGATGGTTTGTGTCTGAAATGGTTAAAATTTATTTTTCTAAGTGCTGGTTTCACGAATGCAAGGTAAAAATCCCATTCTGGAAAAATGTATGTTTTTTGATATCTTTCTCTACTGCAGCAGAGTGCATATACTTGGTTCCAGCAGTCCTCTTCTGGACTATCTAACAGCTACGTGGTCATCTAAGATGACATTTTCCTTTGTGCTAATTTTCTGCTATTAACCTCTTAGGATGAGACATCTGATTATTGGCTCCTTTGGTTAGTTAATCTGTTATATTGTGCTTAGAATCACAGGTTGAAACTGGAGCTCTGCTAGATATTTCAGATATATGGGAATGCTCTGTCCCAGTGGTATAAAATGGTATCTAAAACTCATCTGAAGTGTTGGGTCACAGCAACCAATTCATCTTAAATGCAGCAGATGATATATATTAGTGCTCTCTACTGCCCCAATCAACTAGAACTGGAATTTTTTGAGTTATTCTACTGTCTTGCACAAACATGATCTGATGCCTAAAGGCTCCAATTAGGAAAGGGAATACAAAATGAGCTGCTCACCGTATTGGGATGATGTTCAGCTACCAGAGTAAGTATGGGTGAGGTGGAAACAAACTGATTACTAACTACATGGGAAGATAAAGGACTTGGCAGAACTGGACTAGTGCCCAAACCAGCCTCACTAATGAGAGAGGGGAGCTTTCTCTTGCTTGTGTAGTGGTCACACAGTGACGTATAATCACCACAGAAACTCGGAGTGTGCTTGCAGGGCTTTAGGACAGTTCTTCTGAGACTGGAGGTCATGCCCCAAGTGGGTTACAAGTGGCGTCCTGACTCAACAGATACTAAACTGTTTGGATGAATATTTAGAGTCATGAGAATGTCAGAAACTGAATTATAACATGGAAGCATTTGAGAACTGCTGTGTGAAGAGCTTTGCCCTGTATGATGCTGCATACCTGGCATACCTGTCCTAGCAAAGTCAATGAAGACATACCTGTGCACTGAGTTGAGCAGGTGCTTAAGTGCTCTGCAGGGTCATTGTGAGCACACAGCTGGGTCTTGATCAGTCTCTGGGTGCTTCCTCCCCGGCCGTGCCTTAACCTCAGCCAGCAGCTGAGCACCACACAGCCACTCACTGCCCCTGCAGAGGGATAGGGGACAGAATTGAAAGAGTGAAAGTGACAAAATTTGTGGATTGGAGATATAGACAGTTTAATAGGCAAAGCAGAAGCTGCACATGCAAGCAAAGTAAAACAAAGCAAAATAAGAAATAAATTCACTGCTTCCCATGGGCAGGCAGGTGTTCTGCCATCACCAGACAGCAGAGCTCCATCACGTGTAATGTTGACTTAGAAAGACAAACATCTCACTTCAAAAGTGATGATGATGAGCATGATGCCATACTGTATCCCTTGGGATATACCTCTGGTCAGCTGGGGCCAACTTCCCTGGCTGTGTTCCCTCCCAGCTCCTTGTGTACCCCAACCTTCCTCACTGGTGGGTAGCACAGTGAGTAGTAGTTATAAGAAACAACTGAAATGGCACTAGAAAGTTCAGTTGAAGTAGAAGAGTACAAGAAGAATTTTTTCCAGTCAATATTTGATGAGAAGGCTACTTTACAAGGGAAGAGCAGAGGACATTTATTTTCTCATGTTTGTAGGTAAATCATGCCACTTACCTAATCCTTCAAAACATGAGACCTTTTCTGTTTGTTAGCATGCCCATGTTCAACTGAGCAGCAATCCTGTTTGTTGATCTGACTGCTATTCCTTCTAAGTGTTGCTCCTGTGTGACTTATTGATTCAAATTTACTTTATTGTTTCTAAAATTTCATGTCCCAAAAATTTTCAAATGGATCTTCTACTTGGATCAGAATCCTTGTCGTCAAAGGTTTACTGGAAGAAGACTTTACTGTGTTGACCAAAGAAGAAAAAAATCCTATAGGATTATCAGATTTATTGCTCCTGGTTTCAAAATTAGTGTCTCTTTGATGATTTTTGTTATCTTGCATACTGGACATATGGCTCAGAAATCCGACATAAGAAAGACTTTAAGATCTACCTGGATTTAGATGCCAGCCTAAATTTTGTCAGTACAAACAGTGATGGCAAGCAGATGTATATCCCAGGATTTTCTGGGATATATTTTTTGAGTGTTTGAAATTCACAACATGTTTCAATCTTCTGCCTAATGCTTAAAAATCAAGACTTACTAGTGAAAAAAGAAGATAATATTTTATTAGCAAAATAAGTTGCAGGTCTTGTAATAAAAAGACTCCCATCATTACTAAAAAGCATGTACAATGTTGAATCTTCAGATTCTCCTTGTCTTGTTACCTAACCACTTGGTCACCTTGTTACCTTGTTCACCCTCTGCCTTGGTACTGCCCTGCTTAAAGGAAATTGAAAATCAAGGATCTGCCTAAAAATGTATTATTTTTCTCCAGCTGTGATCATGGAATTACAGTACAGCTACTCAAGAAGAAATTAAATGAAGGTAACTGGATTTTTTTGTTTGGCTGCTTAGGGTCTTTTTTTTGTTTTGTTTTATTTTGTTTTTTTGGTGTGCAAATGTTTTAGGATTACTGCTGTCATTTTAACCTTTATCCATTACTATTATGAATCTCCCATTCAAAGTTAGCTCTTAAAAGCATCAGTAACACTCTATGAAAGCAAGTTTGTTGATCTGCATCTCAGTTTAAATATCTGCATCTCAGACTGATAAACCATGTGTGAAAGCATTTGAATTGAGCAGTGTGAACACCAGCACCAGAATGGGGAAAGAATCATGATGACCTTGATTCCAGCTTCAAGGCTTAGTGTTGGAGATGTGTGAGTAAGCCACCTCTGGGTCTAGGATACGGGAGACATAAATGTGTGTTTGACCTAGACAACTTTTTTCTTTTTGCATTAAGTCAAAGGGAAGAAGAAATTGGGGTGAAATTGCTTGTGAATTTTTTCCACAAAAATAGTTTGAAAATAGTGAGCCCGTGGTGATTAGAGCAGATCTTGGAGTTTGACTTTTGGAGAGTGAAGAAATCCCACTCACGGGGACCAGTTGCCTGCCATACAAGCCTGACTCACAGATGTAGCAGGGTCAGCATTGTAACATTTCCTGAAAGCAATCACACTGCATAACATTCTGAAGATTTGCTTATCTGGAATATTTCTCAGTGCTGTAGCAACTTATTGCAGGGCCACAGTAACAAACTGCTGTTTTCTGAGGAAATCTGAGCTTGTGCAATTCACTTCTAACAGACAGGGCATTCAAGGTTGAGACAGTGCAGACTTCACATGCACCCAGGAAGCCTCTCCTGCAGCCCGCTGAGTGTTAAAAGATGCTTATTAACTTCTTTTCTTTTCTGGGCATCTTTTGTAAATGGAATGATAAGGGTTGCACAAAATCATCTCTTTTGGCAGTATACAGGCCTCCTCCTTGAAATCCAGCTACTGCTGGCTGTATTTGTATCAGAACTGGAAAAACAAGACATACTAATGAAATATTGGGAATTATTTCCAGGCTCTTGATATTGCTCCAAAGAAGTTCCAGCCCGAGGATCATCTTTGAGTGTATCATTAGTAGCTGGCTACTTTAAATTCCCCTAGGTGGGCAGTTACATCATTTAAGCATTAAAACTCTTGGGTTTATGTCAGGCTTCTACTAAGCTAAGTAAAAGGGCTCATGTTAATGAGAAGCAGAATCTTTCTCTAGGAGAATTTAGTCTAACAAGAGCAAGGGATGACAGAACTGACAGAGGGAAATGGATTCCCATGGAGATGAAGGTCAGGCAGTAACATGGTGTCAGAGCCAGGACCAGAATGAAGTTCCTAGTGTACTGGACCAGGCTGCAGTTAGCTTATTCTGTGGACTAGAGGGCTGGAAAGAGGAGTTTGAAAGAGGCTGTTAAATGGAGGAAAGGCCACTTATATGTTTCACTGATTTTACCAATATTCTTGGGAGAGGGTTTTCTCTAACAAGAAATGTGGTTTTATTGAAAGTAATGGAAAGAGAAAAATGAGTCATTTACAACATATTAAGCCTAGTGTTTAAAATGTTAGTTTCAAAGCACATGCAAGTGCAAAGCACATGTGTCCACCAGCAAGTTTCTCGCAAAATCAGCTGACTTTGCAGCTTCTGGTGTTAAGTGTTGCAATGGTCAGAGTCTGTTTCATTTCTCTATGAAATACTACGGAGGCCCTTTGGGCCAACTCCTTATGGGCTCATAGACATTGCATCACCCAGTTCCAGGCATCCTGCTGTCTCATGGCGCCCTGACCCTGGGCTGTTCACCACTCAGACTTCCTTTCCATGCAGAGATGGGTGAGAAGAGCTCAACAGTTGTGCCCCTTGAATGGGGCACCTTCCTCCAGAACAGTTCTGGTGAGACAAAATCCCGTATGGGATCTCCTCACTGAGGAGAGGGACATGTCTTCGCACTGGTACCAAGGTAATCAGAGCTAGGTCTACCGTTTTGGAGACAAGACACTTCTTGTGTTCTTCTTTTGAGTTCTTCCACTTCCTGGGTTGTTGGAAAAGGGAATAAATGTAGATATCCCCTATTCTAAAAGTAATCACCTAGGATTGGCTTAAAATGGGATTGCGATAAATATAAAACCACCTTTTCACCAATGGTATTTTGTACAAGGCCTGGCCATGAATTTGGGTCCATGTACAGAATATACCTAGAATATATTTATTGGTTTGGAACCTTGGAGATAAGTGGGAGAATATGTAGGTTTGATCATGCCCAGACAGGATTCAAGCATTAGTTAAGATGCTATCAAAAAATCTTGATAGTGTCAGAAGGAAGAGGTTGCTTCTGACATAAACTTGGTTGCCTGTAGCTCTACATGTTAGCTGAGCAGCATTTTGAAGATCTTAGTGATAGTAAGATGTCTTCTGAAGCCCTGTGGAAAGCAGGGCTTTTTAAAGTCATACAATCCTTGTCCAGTATCGCCACAAATTTAGTCTACCTTGCAAATAATAAATACAAGTTTTGTTTGCTATTAGCAAACTCCGAAGCACAAAATGTTAGTCTTTATCTGAACATAAATAATTCCCTTCACTACAGTTTAAAACGCTGTAGAATTAATTTTTCTACAAAATTATCTAAAAGCTAAAACTGTATTTCAAATCCTGACTCGCTAATTTTAACATACTGCCCTTTTGATGGAGAAGTTTTTCAGAAGGCAGAACAATGATCTCTTCTACACTGAGATTATTTCTTTTCACAAAATGGGAATATGCTGGATGAGGGAGAATAATCCTTTACTTTCTGTTAATTCAGAAGCTTAATGTAGGTTTATGAGCAAAACCTTCTGACTGCAAAAATTTTGAGGCATCAGGAAGATGTATGAGCCCTGTTTTCTTTGTTTTTGAGCAAGAAAGCTGATTTGTGTGTTTAGAATTCAGTGTGTTCTGTTGTCCTTCAAGGGAACAGGCAATAGTCTTTCCATTGCCCTCTATTTTGCACAGTCCCTTGCAGCAGTACACAAAGGAGGAATGACTTGTGACAGCACCACATCCTACCTCTATGGTGCACAGCTTTAAATGGCAGCACCTTGTCCAGGACAATGGCAGGCTGGACAGTCCATGTGGAGTGAGCTGGAGCTGAAGAAATGAACCTTTACTCCATAAGGAGATATTAATAAAAAGTAGGGATGAGTTGGAAGGGAGCTGGTAGAGGAATGCAGCCTTTGAAGAAGTTAATGACCCACCTACCCTACAGGTGAACAGATCTGAAAGTGTAGTGATATGCCAGCCAAGGTATTGCCTCATATCCCTGCTATTGTAGAATAACATCAGTCTATGATCCTCTAGAATATGAAAGTTGAGTATGAATTCAAGGGCTTGGAAACTGGACAAGGCCTCTAATGTGTCAATAAACAGAAGAAATGTTAAATTGCTGAGATATATATGAGGCTGACAACTCTACTGTAGCCTCTCCTTGTGGGGTGAGGTACCTCCCTAGTTGATGTAATGTTAGTCAAAGTGGAGGAAGAAAAGCACTTCTGTGACAAAATATTCAGGAACACTGCTGATTTAGGTTGTAATTTAGGACTATTCACTAATTAGGATTCTAGTATCCAGTAGTGGTACCCCTGAGTGCTGCAGCATCTGCTCCAGCCAGGTCCACTGAGGCTTGGGTCATAAACGTGCAGGAAACATTTTCCCTACAAAGAGTTAGTCCATCCCGTTTTTCAACAGAAAGAGTAAGACCTATCCAACTTCTGTTTCATTATGCAAGCCTTTCAGCTGA